CTATCTGACCTCCTCTGGCTTCTCTATTGCCAGCGGTAGAAGTCACACATGTCTCCATTTTCCATCTTTCTTTACCTATTTTGATACCAATTATTGCTCCTAGAGCACTCTACTCTGCTGGGTTTGATAATTTGTTGAAATGATCCCACAGAACTCTCAATTATGGGGGCTTATTAGGAAAATAAATAGCTTACCATATGTCAGGATCAGTTAATAGTAAGGATACAGTCATTGGTTCACAACAGTGCCTCTTCTCAGCCAACAGCCAGGATTCTCCATGATCCTCAGCCTCTCAGTCATGTGGTCCCTTGGCTTCTGTCTCTGTGGTCCAGGAAGCTGTATTGCTCTGCCTCACAGTTCTACAGTCTCAGCACTACTAATCTGTTCTGTCTCATGGTCTCCTTGCCTCAGCCTCTCTTGGTCTGGCTTCTTTGCTTGGTTCCATGGTCCTAGTGCCACAGCCTGTGGTCCCTTTGGTCTTGTCTCCACCACTTCAGACAGATTCTCATGTATGCTCCACTAGTGGCTCTTTTTCCAGTGGTCCTGGGATTTCATTCTGTGTCGTGCTTCTGAGATGGCTCTTATACACAGATGAATGGCTTTGATGGAAGTGAGGTTGTCTTTCAACAGCCCATACTTCCAAGGAAGCAAAGGGTAGTGACTTGGTTCATATTCTACTAAGAAACTTAATCCTGACTATTAGCATAGCATAGAAGTTCCTCCAAAATGGGATTTTAGCCACGGGCATAGAGGCCAGAATTTATAATAATACATCACATAAGGTATTATGGTTAGAAGAACCAAACTCAATGCCGTTAAGTCAAGTATAACCATGTAAGACGGAGTAGAACTGCACCTGTGGGTTTCCAACATTCTAACTCAACAGGAGTACAAAGCCTCATCTTCCTCCCTTAGAGCAGCTGTTGAACTACTGAATTTGTGGTTCACAATCCAACTGTAACCACTATACCACCAGGGCTCTCCCTAATGGCTAGGAGGGCAGTATTAATTGACTATCTCACAATGTTAGTTCAATAACTAGAGTTACAGTGTTTAGCCTTTAGTGTTTACCTCTTCCTCTCAGGAGGAAGGTTTAACCATGGTAGAGAGGTCCCTTGTAGATAGAGTCAGAGGTTGGTGGTAGCAGAAAATCTCAGATTCATCTCTGCCTTCTCTCCAGGAGTAAGAAGAAATTTAGAGTTTATGTTGACTTTTCACCTTGGTTCCACATGACAAAGCTAGTGTGACATTAAAGGGTAGGTTATATCTTTACTTCAGGATTTGAGAGTAGCTGAATGAATGATGTCTCTCTCCTTCCTTCAAGGTTAGAGATTAAGGGAGTTGTTTAAATTTTTGTCCTGTTTTCTTGTCACAAGTATGCCAGATCAAAGTAAATTCAAAAGTTGTTTATATTTTTTACATACTTCTTTGTTTCTTTATCTAAATTCAGATATTTTCGAAATAACTTTAAAAAAAAATCATTTTATTGGGAGCTCTTACAGCTAAATAACTTTCTTATAAAGAGCCCTGGTGGTGACATCGGGTAAGTTCTGGGCTGCTGACTGCAAGTTTGGCCAGTCAAACCTACTGGCCACTTTGTAAGAGAAATAAAGTTCTCTTCCCATAAAGCCTCAGAAACACTATGTAGGATTGCTATATGAGTTGGAATTGACTCAATGGCTGTAAGTTGATGACTTATAGTTAGTGTTAGAGAACCTTACAGAGATAGACATATTTCTATTGCTAAATATATGAATGATTTTATATATATATATTTAAAAAGCATAATAGTGACATGAGATGTGAGAATATTATAGAAACATACAGAACATATTTCTTATACTGGTATGCATTGTAGTAGTTAGTAAAGACAATCTTTATGAGAGTGATGAGGAAATGATTACATATTATGTGTCCATTGGTAGCCACAGCTCTATTCATAGAAAATAGTCACTTTTAGTGATATCATCCTAGAATCATGAAGGATTGCAGCATTTGGAGGCTCTAGAGTGCTTTTGATTTTGTCTCGTCTTTTCTGCATTCACATTCTAAAACTTGCCAGGATTTGGTAGGTCACTTTAGTTTTTGCAACAGTAGACCTAACTACCTGATTCGGGATGCTAGGAGTTAATATATTTATCACTGGTTCTCCTGAAGTCCTCTGTAGCTTTGTACCAGTAAGGGTACTATCTATGTTCATGTAGACCAAATTCTCTGATGCACTATAGCTTAGGATATTATCTAGGTATTTTTGTGCATAACAAATAGACTTATTATCTCTTTTCCCTTTTGACCTGGCTAAGTTGACATTGAATTGTTTTGTACTTTTATTTTGACTTTAGTTCAATGATCAATTAATCAGTCCCAAGCATTTTGTTCATCTGGCTGGCAAATCCACCCTGAAGGACTGGAAGAGAGCCATTCGTCTGGGTGGAATCATGCTCAGGTAAGCTCTAATGCAAACCCACACCTCCCAATATACTTGGGGACACTTAATGATAGTAGAATCCAGATAATTGACCCTTTTCTCTTTAATTTGAAATTTTATTCAGAATTGGCTTGAGTAATCCATACATTATTTGAACTGCACCACTTGTTCTTAAAATTCTTGAGAGGGACGGGAGACTGCATCCTAGCTTCTGGGGCTAATTTTTCTGATGTCACCATATTGGGTAGAATCCTCTTTTGGCAGAGAAGCTCAGGAGTAGGTGACAGTCCTGTTTCAGATTACCAAGCAGAGGTGCAGCTGAGCCTGTGCCTAGGAAGAAAATAACCGGAGAACAGTGTAAGCTGGCCAACACATGTGGGGATCATCTGGTGAGGTAGAAAGGTGCTCTTGGTAAATAATGACTTCGCAGAATAAATCCAACTCTTGCGGCATTTGGAAGATTGAGAACCCAGAGGAAGATTGATGCTAAGACACCAAGAGATTGTCAGAGGATGCAGAGCCCACAAAAGTTGACAGAAAACTTTCCCCTAAAACTGATGCCCCGAATTTAGAGGTCTAGTTTCCTAAACTGAGAGAAAATTTGTTTGTTAAAGTCATATACTTGTTGTACCAGCACTAGATAACTACGACAGATTTTGGTACCGGAAGAATGAAGTACTGCTCTAACAGATTCCTAAAATGTGGAAATTCCAAAACTTTGGAATTATTTTAACATGCCTAATAGTAAAAGCGAGGCACCATGGTGGTGTGGTGGTAATGTATTGGGCAAGGTTAAAAGTTTGAAACTACCAGCTTCTCTGTGGGGGAAAGACAAAGCTTTCTACTCCCATAGAGTTACAGTCTCAGGAATCTACAGGCAGGTTCTACCCTGCTTTAGAGTTCCTTATGAGTTTGAATCAACTAGATGGCAGTGAATTAGTAAAAGCCTAGGTTGTTTGGAAAGACTGAGTGGAATTACAGAGGTCAAAGGCAATTCTAGTGAGGGCTCAGAAAGAAGGGAGATGGTGCAGATGGTGAGACGCAGTGGCAGAGCAGCAGAACTAGGAAACTCCGAGACAGCAGCTACTCAAAGAGCAAGAGAACTGAGTACTTTGCTGCAGGAGTGTTGTACCTCCAGGCACTTGTTGGTAGAGCCAGGTTTGCTGACTCATGGAGCAAGAGATATTTGTCCTAGGGTAGAAGGTAACTGGTGGAATGGGCTGCCTCTAGACCAACGGTTCTCAACCTTCCTAATGCCGCAACCCTTTAATACAGTTCCTCATGTTGTGGTGACCCCCACCATAAAATGATTTTCATTGCTACTACTTTTTTGCTACTGTTATGAATCATAATGTAAACATCTGATATGCAAGATATATTTTCATTGTTACAAATTGAACATAATTAAATCATAGTGATTAATCACAAAATAATATGTAATTATATATCGTGAAATATTTATGTGTTTTATGATGGTCTTAGATGATCCCTGTGAAAGGGTCATTCGACTCCCCAAAGGGGTCGCAACCCACAGGTTGAGGACTGCTGCTCTAGACCAATCGGTAATGCTAAAGAGTATTGTAAAAATTGCCCAAGGTCATGTTAGCCTAAGAGGCCAAGGAACCAGGAAATATAAATTGAAGAGACAAGGAATGTAAGAAACTGAGTTTCCTAGGTCTCAAAGACTAGGGTCATGGCTTTGGGGGTTCTAAAGCGTGGGGCTGCTGATCATAAATGCCAGGAGGTAGGACCAAAGTTGCTGCTGGAAAGCTAAGGGGCAGAACTGCTGTGCAAAATAACTCCTCATTTCCCTGGCCTCCCAGCCTCTGATAGCCTCTAATCTATTTCCTGTCTTGATTAATTTGCCTGTTTTAGATATTTAATGAAAGTAGAATTACATAGTATTTGTCCTTTTGTGTCCAGTGTAAACATCTAGTATAATATAGTTTAGGAAGATATTTACTGTTGTAATATTTACCCTCAAGTGAAGATTATTAACAGTGTACCTTGAGTACTCACTTATTAATAGGAAGTTTTTAAAAATGTGATCAGGAATTAAGTTTCTTGTAGAACATGTTCCAAAAGCCTTAAAAACATCTTACTCAAAAAAAAAAAAAAAAATCTTACTCTTTGTGTTTTTAATTTTTTTTGTGGAATCTGTCTTAAGAAATAATCTGTAGTGCTTGTAGAGATCGAGCATATAGGTGTTTATTGTAGCATTATTTGTTATGATGAAAATGGCAGTCTGGAAAAATACATAGTCAAGAGACATCTAAAGTAATTATGATCATTAAATATATGTTATGGGATATAGTCATAAAATATTCCTAAAGAGTTTTTACATGGACCTGCTTGTGATGTAATACAAAGGAAGAAAACAAAATATAAAATAGTGTGACTTTTTAGCTTTGTTAAAAACAAACAACAACAAAAAACAAACGTTTAAACAACAGATAAGAATAGTAAGGGTCTCTCCCAGAAGAATGCACTT